ACACCATCCCATACCTAAAGGGTTTCTGATCCAGTCCTAAAAACAGCCATTTGAATTCTCCACACAAGCCTCTGCCTCCTCAGCAGCATGTAGTCTTAACATTCAGTCAGGTGGAAACCATATCTTTCAATTATAATGTTCCATGTTTTATGGTTGCGAATTTCAGTCCTTTTCTAGTGCAGATGAGAAATTGGCAATCAAGTACCAAGTTGACACAATGTGCTGGATCTCTACCCATCTTTAATGCTTGCAAGCAAGAGTCAGTGGCTGCACCTACCACATGACTGAGGATAGGCATTCCCTGCTCTGATTTTATAGCACAATAAACGCATCCACTGTAAGCAGTTGACAGGAAACACGTGATTTTACTCACGTTCTTATTCAAGATATCTTTAATGTACTCATGACATTTTCTTTATCACATTGTTCTTCTCCTGGTCCTTCTGTGTCACATCTCATTTGACAGTCTCATGATGTTTGTCTTCAAAACTTAATAAGTAATAACTATATTTCTTTGTGTTACAACTGGCTACTAATTACCAAACCAACTACGGGTAACTACTTACTACTAACAACTACTTATTCACAATACGGAAAGTATGTAAGTAACGGCAGAATTATAGGAACAGAAAACAGGATCATCATTTAATTCATTTGTAAATCACTTATCACACTTTGAGCCTATCTTAATGGTTCAGTTTCCTTTCTGCCAAATAGTACAGGTGCTCACTGGTTGGAAAACTGTCCTAATTTTATCCGGCTCAGGAGTGCAGAGTTGAACATACTGAACATCTGTACATCAAAGCTTCTATGCATGTCAGAGTACAGGTACAGATATACACAAGTAAACCAAACACTATTACAACTGTAATTAGATCTTGAACCGTATCTGCCACATGCACCAGGTTTATCACACGACCATTTATTGAGACAGTTTCCTGCAGAATCTGAGGTACCGAAAGCTTTTCTGATTACATGGTTCTATATGGCTGGAAAAGCTATACTCCCCATACACAGCAAAAAGAAGAAACAACCCTGAAGATTACAATATAAGGAAATATCCAGAAAATGCACTCAATGATTGTCTGTGTCCTAGGTGATGAAAGTGAAGCTGCAGCCTCCGTCCAGCACCGAGCTCCCAGCCTTCAATCCCATCCTGCCTCCAGCCGCCGTCACACAGATCCTACTGCTGGCTAACCCATACAAGGTACGGTGCCACTTGACCCCCACAAATATCATACTATCAACATCACTGTTTGATACATCAGCTTCTTCTGGTTCTTCTACTTTTCATCACATTTACCTGAATGTCACTGACAGAAGTGGATGAAGAATTCTAGTTTATAATAATTATAATATCTGAAGGTCAGACCAATACATTTTCTTAACCATAGTTAATTTTTGGACATATTTGAGTCCCTGTTGATTTTTGGACATATTTGGTAATTATGCTAACTTCCAGTCTTTGATCTTGAAAAGATAATGTTTACATTATTATACTGTATACAATAAAAGTCTGTGATATAAATTAAATATGCATAATGGCATTGATTGTGATACTGTGTCATTTTTGGAAACACTGCTTTATAGGCTTTGCATTTTATTAACTTAATAAACATGTAGTGATCTTACAAATTAAAGGTACCCTGTAGAGTTTTTGACCACTCATTTTTAATGGCTCCTTGATTTGGTAGTGTGCACGTGGACTCACATGCAAGTGGGCGACGTAATCCACATCCTGCCTTTGGTTTCACGCTATTCCGCTAATGTAGAGTTGGTAGTGGTAACACGCAAACACACTTTGTGATGCACCACCAAAGGCAGCAAAGAAGACAAACGTGGATGTAAACAATGTATGATTTTACAATGTTTTAAAAATATTCTTTTTGAGGAAGGTAATGCATTCAACACCTCAAGCAAACACACATTACTGTCGATGTAACATCAAACGTTCTTGTGTTTCAGGAAAAAGTACGTTTGCGGTACAAGCTGACATTCAACCTGGGGGACAAATCTCATGATGAATCTGGTGATGTGGACCAGTTCCCACCTCCAAACACCTGGGGGAACCTTTAGTGAGAACGACCAACCTCCTGTCATGTGATCTGCTGCTTCCTTTAGATTTAGGTTGAAGTTCTCCCTCATCGCTGGCTTGAGGAAAGACGGCCTCTTTACACTCCAGTGGTGTCAAACTCCAGTTTGGTAATACAAACTGACATGAGACCAGTTGTGGGAACCAGCTTCTACCTTGTGCCTTCCTTCGCAGCCTTCCTGTCCTTATTCAATCATCTCTGTGTTCCTGTGTTTTGCAGCTTCTTATTCCAACAATCAGTCCAACGCAAACTATAAAGCAAACTGTCAGACACATTGATTCAATGCAGTAACTTTTGTGGGAAACAAGTTGAGCCTTTTAAAAACTAAATGTGTGCATTTGTCTGATTTGCATACTGTTTAACAATCCTTGATGTCCCATGTCATGTGAATTACATGTAACAGCTGGTGTATCACATTGTTTTTGTTTACAAAACCCCATTGCTCAACTTAACGCAAGTGTCTGATGCATTCCCAACTTTGGACATTGTGAGCGAAAATGTCCTGCATTCTGAATATTGTCACAGTGTGCGTGTCCAGTGTTCAGAGTAGGGTTGCAGCAGGTCATTGTTTTCTGTCAGTCCACCAGTAATACTATTCTGTTCAAATTTAAGGCAGTGAAATGCTTAAAGTGATATCTTACATGTGTTTACAGTATGACCAACAGCCAAAACACCCAGTGTGTTCAACTTATGATGTTATGTGGAGTAGTTGGTAGTTAACCCGACTCAGCCAACTCAGTTATAAGAAGTAGTTAGAAGTTGGCTAATTGTTTCAGCTCTACTTCAGTGTTCAATGAAGAGCAGCAGCAGTGGATTTAATAGTCAAATACTATCATGCTTAACTTACTAGCAAACCATTTCCTCTTTACCCGCTAATGAGAACTGTCAAATACAGAGTGGCATAGAAACTAAATGTAATGTTAACACACTGAGGTTTTGCATTTTATCCAATGGAGACTAAGTCGAAGTAGGAGTTTCAGGAGTTGATCTTAAATGTTTTAACAACTGGAAAAGTACAAGGAGAATTCGGAAGCATACATAATGAATTGGTACATAGTTTTTAAGAATTGGCTTGGTTTTAATATTTGCCGCTTTGAGGAAATTATACTTGATTTGTGTGTGTAGGTGTCGAAGCTGTGACAACAGGTCTTCTCCACAGTAGACTTGTGACAGTAGGAAAAGCACAGACGTTACTGATAACATTATCGATGGATCTGTTCTATTCAGGTGTTCCAGTGAGCATGAACAGTATGTGGAGCCTGAAACTGACGCAACTAAGTGGAATTCAGCCATCATTGATTTGTTATTTAGACCTGTGCTTTTCCTACATGTCAAAATGTCTTCTGTGAAAGAGCAAGGAAGGGCACTAAATCTCTGCCCCTGTTAAAATGCTATTTAATTTCTGCACTTTTCTTTTTTTGGGACACTTTTCGACATTCATGCTTCACTCAGGAGTTTGATTTGGAGATTTATTTTACAAATGAACTTTCATGCACTTATTTTGTTTAAATTTTGCACAAGAAACCATTCCATCTTACAGTACATTGTCTTTTGACCCAAAGAGGGACATGTGAAGTCCTGAGTTGCAGACATCCGGTTTGATTCTACCACATGTGCCTGGGATGAAACGTTTGATTTTCATTTTCTTTGTACATAGATGTATACAAATGACTAGTTTGATTTTTGTTTTTTTTGTTTTCGTTTGTTCATGTCACAAAGTCTTTTCTGATAAGGAAAGACTTTGTAACAAATTACACATGAAATGATGTTACAGAATCGGCCCAATATCCATGGTCACTGAGATGATTGGAGCACGGGTCTATGGTCATTTCTTAGGGCCATAAAGACTAAAATAAAATGAGATTGGAGGCAGAGTGGTTCTGAAATACACGTGCAACTCCAAATGTGTGTAACTACAATCGGGACAGAGCTGGAGACTCAGTTTATAGTGGATCAATACAAGAATTACCCACTTAATAATATGGATTCAGTTATACACTTCTACTTGAAAGCCAGTGTTACATTTAATTTAGTAGATTAGCCCACATCAGCAGTCATCACACAGTGCCATTGATTTGTAATAATATAAATCAGTTATTTCAGTTCCACAGAGATTTCAGTTTTTATTTGTTTAGAGATACATTTACATGTCTAACTTGTTTAGGACTGGAAGGAAGAAAGCAATAATGACAAAAGAAGTAGCCTCAGTAACCTTTAACCTTCAGTCCTTCATGGCTCAAGCACATTGTAAATAATGAACATTTGCGCTCCTAGCATGATGTACTGTGAACTATGCATTGAAAGCATCAGATTCAGATCAGATTTATTTTGTGTAAGACCACACATACTAAAGTTTTATGTTTATTGCAGCCTCTATCGTGTCCATATCGTCTTTAGGGTGTACAGTGGCACATTCTCTGACTGGAGAAGCATGATCAGCAGATGCTAAAATTAGTCCCGTCTGGCTTCTTCTACCAGGCGTATGGTGGTGATGATGACACAGACTGAAGCTCTTCCTTCTGGACAGAGAAGGTATTAACTCAGCATTCATCTTTGATTTGTCATCCCTGTCTGCACTGACGGGACTGGAGTTACAGTAGCAGCGACCGCACCCTTCCCACAACTAGGAAAAATGTAACGTGAGACAGGGGACTTGTGTGTTGTAGCCACGCTATTTCATGTCTGGTTCTAGTGTTCACTGAGGTGAATTTAGAGGGTATGCTATGAAGTAAGTTATTGCAGAGTTACCCCTTTACAGAACCTATTGATCAAACTTGATCACTGTGCATGCAATGTTGTCACTCTTGTCCTGCCTGGAAAGACATGAATCGGACTGGACCTCCCACATAAACTAGGACTGACAACAAGAAAACAACTTTACAAACCTGTAACTTGAGACCCCTAAGTGATTCAATCAATTAAACTGGATCTGATTCAGATTTTCAAGAACAAAAAAGTAGAGCAAAACTAAGTGTTGTGACGAAGCCTGTACAGTATTACTGAGGAAACAGTCTTTTCCATTTGTGCTTTTAATGTAAATAAAAGCTTCATGCCATTATGTATATTTATCAAGAAAAGCAACATACATGTACATACTGCTGGGTACAAAGTGAAAATGTACTATAAATGTGTATTTAAGGCAAATAAAATCATTTGTACAGGGATTTCACCTGATGTATAAATAATTTAATCAATAACTTGCAAAGTAGGAGAAAATACAATTTTGATTCATTTGTTTATTAAGAAAGCACTGTAAAAAGAACACAATAAATGAAGGAGGAATCAATCCACATGAATATGTGTCTGCATTAGTTCACATCGGTTTTTTACTACAGGACAGAAAAAAGTGAAGACATGCACAATATAATGTATCTGAATCTAGTGTGACAGTCTATTACACTAAACAAACTAAAATAGTGGTTGCATGGTATCAAAAGACTCACAACTTGAATGCATTATTTCAGTGTTTACAATAACACAAACTCAAAATCAATGCAATAGGAGAAAGAAAATATACTGCTAGTCAAAACATAATTCTCCCTCAAACAATATAAGTCAAAGATTTAGAAATTTAATAAAGCAATGACATGACTCTGGAATGTGATGGCATCTATTAGAAATCATTTATTCCCAACCATGTACCACTGAGCCCTCACTGCAAGCTAGTTTTCATACTAACCACATCCTAATACAGCCAGTGAACAACAGCTTAAACTTGAGAGGGACAACAAACTGGAGGAATCTGCTATAGTGTTTCATTGAAATGACAACACCCCAAACTTGTTCCTCCAGGGTACATAGTCTAGAGAAACTGCATGAAACTAGAAAAAATAGCGGTTAAAGTTCGTAGTTTCCTTTTCTCTATGAAAATTTACATTCCACACATATGGTGTGTATTAAAGGTACAAAACAAATAGAAAATATATAAGCCCTTACCTCCTTAGATTAATGCCTTTTCAAACCCTCGTCTCCTGGTGATAACAAGAGATTAAGAGGAAAAATAAAGTTACACTGTGAACACACCAAGTAGCGCAAATTAACCTTCTGCTGCTTCTTCATAATTCTACTTCCGGGGAGGTGGAGGACCTGGAGGAGGAGGGGGTGGAGAAGTAAAAGGGTAGGGTGGTTGCCCCATAAAGCCCATGAGCGGTGGCTGTGGTGGTGCGAACTGCTGAGCCATCAGTGGCAGCGGCCCCCCTGATGACGGAGGAGGAGGCTGGCCAAACTGACCCTGAGGCTGGCTAGGCTGATCCTGACCTCCACTGGACTGGCCTCCACTGCGGGAGTTGTAGCCCCCGCTGCCGCCATAACTCTGGTACTGATCTGAGCCCGAGTTGTAGCTGTTCCTGCCCTCCCGGCTTCTGTCCCTGTAGGAGGAAGAGGCGGAGGAAGTGGAGCGGTCTCCATCTCGGCTGTTGCGGCTGTCGCGGCTGAAACCGCTGCGGCTGTCTTTGCTGCCGCCGCCAGCAGGGCGCATGCGCCGATCACACTCCTCCTGGTACATGAGGTTAGGATTGTTGGAGCTGCTGTCACGGTAACGCATTCTGCCACCTATAACAAACAACAACTTTAAAACCAGTATCATATTTAAACTGTTTATCACTACAGAATGGTCTCAAAAATACCAATGTTTTCTATTAGACTGTATGATTGACTGTGATGTATTAAGCTGAAAAACTGTGACAGTCCTTCTTACCCCCTCCTCCTCCACCACGCCCTGAGTCCACCAGCTGAAGCAGTTTAGGGTTGATGGCCTGCCGGGCCTCCGCCAACACTCGGACAAGGTCTCGGGCCTGCCGCAAGTTCCCTGGGGTGAAGAAGGTGTAGGCAGTGCCCTTGTTGGTACTGCGGGCCGTACGTCCAATACGGTGGACATAATCCTCAGAGGAGCTGGGATAGTCATAGTTGATGACGAACTTGACATCTTCCACGTCTTTTGGGTACAGATATTTTACAGCATGGGGAAAAGAACCAGATCATCATCTCAAGAGGGGAAAAAGCTTCTGGTGAAAGAATTGATCACTTTAATTCATCTTCAAGAGCTGATGGTTTGTATTTAAATAAATATAAATATATGATTAATTAAATGTAAATTAAATGAGATATTATTAATAATAGTTTAAAAAAAAGTATAAAAAAACAAAAATCTAAACAAATAGAGTGACTTACCTGCTTTATCAGACATCGTGTAAAAATCCATATATCCAAAGATTCATTTCAGTTTTTCACCATTTGAACTCATTTAAATCAAATACAGTTAAAACTGAACTTGACTTCAGGTTTTCACGCTCACTTGAAACTTAGTGAACATGGCATCGAGGTGGACACAAACATGTTAAGGCTTCATAGTCTTCACACCAATGTGATTAATGGTCAGAATGTGTGAAGACAAGGAGTCTGTTTCTTATTACAGAAGATGTGGGGCTCTGACAGCACTGCTGATCAATAAGTCTACATTTCCCCCTCCATCATGACAGAGGAAAGCCATAACCCACTGAGTAAGAGAATGACGATGTGCCGGGACTTTTGACTATAACATATGAGCACGATGGAGGTACCAGAATGTATGGTGAGCTCATGGAGGAGTTGAGAGAAAGGGGCGGTGAGGTACTTACCCCCTTTATGTTGTTTTTTACAAAGGTAGTCCCCCCTTGATCAGTCCTGGTTTATAGGGAGGGGCTGAGGGGGAGGGAGACAGGAGTCATTCCTCACCCTTCTCCACACACCAGCAACGCCAGACGGGAGCAGAACCGTTAAACCTCAAGAGACATGCACACAACGGCTGGTTCTGTTGCGCTCTCGCTGCATTGCAGGCCCCTCCTCAGACCCTGGCCAGGACTGGATCCAGACGAGCCCGTCTAACACTCTCTCCCCTGTCTGTCTGCTTTTTTGGGACGGACCGATGGGCAGACATACAGGCACCTCAGGCTGCTCCCAAGGAAGGCTCGTTGGATTTACAAACTCTGACAAAACTGGGCAGGGGGATCTTAGTTACTCAAGAAGGAAAAGAGGGGCTTTAATCCCTCTAAAACTAGCTGAGCTTCTACTTTAACGTGACGAAGGGGGCAGTGACAGCAGCGCAGACTGTTACAGCTGCCGTGTGCTGCCAAACCCTGAGAGGAGAAGAGGGGAAAAAAGAACAAGGATACGGTCATAGGAATTTTGGCAAGTTAAAGACACTTCACTTATCCCCCCTTCTCACATTTATCCTGCCAACAAATATAGAATAGATATCAAATTAGCCATCCTAGCCTTCCTGTTGGTGGATCGGAGATAATTCAGCTCAGCTGTCACTGTCCTACTCAAATGCATCTGCAAAACATAACATGTATCATTTTGCAGAAATATATAAATGGAACAACTACATGATGTATTATCCTCTATGTGGAAGAACGGGTGGAATTTGCACTGATAGCATAAAGGAGAAAAGGTGCGCAGGAGCATCTGCCCCACAGACCCCTCCTTTCAGGCAGCAGCGTGCCAAAGAGCCCCGGATGAAGGAAGCTTTTGTAACTGCAGTAACAAGAAACAGACTATGAACCCAGAAGACCAGAAGGCCTGAAGCCTCCATTCTGCACTTAACAGTTCATTAAACTATCAGCTTAAGGGCAATCCTTAAACATAATGTGCTGAATTATTTCATTGTACATCACTACATTCAAAAAGGTTAAACCTTCTTTGTTATTTTCACACTTCTAGTTGACAGCAATACTACATATTGTACTTATTTTTAAATCTGCATTGTGAAAAAATCCTAGTGTGGCATCCATTATGGAAAAGGGGAAAAAATGTCAAAATATCAACCTGAAAATAGTCAAAAGAAAACAATTCTACACTTGTGCTAGAATTGCATTTTATTAACCCAATTTCATTGCTCGACTTTGCCAGATATAGCTGGTCTCACCTGCAGTATACTTACCTACCGGTCAAGATTACTTTGCAAATAGATATTACTGTTTATTTGTAAGTATTTAATAGGCTTAATATTATTTAGAGGAAAATATATGATTTGCAGGACAATGCAGAATTAATTAGAAAAGAGACAATCATGTGAGATACTATGTAGCATTAACTGTATGTGTGAGCAGACATACCCAGACCACGAGAGGCCACATCGGTAGCAATCAGTATAGGAGCTTTACCACTCCGAAATTCTGTAGGATTAAACAAAATATCAGTATGGTTATTATCAGAAACAGATATAGAAAAAAAACTAAAGAGCAGGATGGAAAACATTATCTCCATTCAAACTCAACTCATGTGATAATAGATGAGGAACTTTAAAACTGATGCTTAGAAGGGAAGTGTTTTTCCTATACTGTCCTGCCCCTCAGGAGCGCCTGATAAACACCAGTTTACGGAAGGAAATTATCTACAACAAATGACAGGAGGGAAGTGGTAGCACTGTATTACAAGTATTCCTACCTGTGAGAACCCAGTCTCTTTCTGGCTGGCTCTTATCTCCATGGATACACATGGCTGGCCACCTAGAAAGGAAAGACACAATGAAGTGGCAGGATTAGAGAACACTCTGAATAGCTTCTGTCTATTAGTAATTTGCATAATTCATCCTAGAAATACTGTCAAAATGTTGTGTCATAACAGACAATTCCTCACCCGTCGCGCCTCATCCTCCTGGTAAGATCATCACAACGCTTCTTAGTCTCCACAAAGATGATGGTTTTGTTCTCTTTTTCAGCCATTATCTCCTCCATCAGCTGAAAAAGTCTGCAGACAGGGAGAGGCGATCACAGCACATCAACTGTGTGAAAGGATGAGCTCAAGTTCTGTAACACTATGTTAGCAGTTAATTAAGATAATCATGACATTTTAGGTCAGACTTCTCTCACTGGCTTTCCTTACTTGTTGTCCTTTTCAGTCTCCATGCAGACATCGACAATCTGCAGGATGTTGTGGTTGGCACTGAGCTCCAGAGCGCCGACATTAATCTGGACGTAGTCGTTCAGGAAGTCCTCGGCGAGCTGCCGAACATCCTTTGGCCAGGTTGCACTCCACATTAGAGTCTGTCTGTCAGGCTGAGAAACACAGGGAGGGAAAGAATGCAACTGATTTTACTGAAAAATACTTGTACATTAAGTCACAGTGATCATTTTAAAATCAGCAGTCATCAACGGAGCCTTTGTCCCACCCTGATTTGTTCAACTATCTTGCGAATCTGTGGCTCAAAGCCCATGTCCAGCATGCGGTCAGCCTCATCCAGCACTAGGTAGGTGCAGCGCCGCAAGTTCGTTTTCCCACACTCCAAGAAGTCAATGAGGCGGCCAGGTGTGGCAATGCAGATCTCAACGCCTAGAGTCATACCAAATCAACAACAACAAAAAAGATTCACACATTATTAGATGCTTGGGCAGAACATTTCCCCAATAGCTGTGTTCTGGTTGTTGTTCATACAACACTATGCATTTTACATTTACTGACCATACTGTCACACCTCACAGAGAAATGCAGTGTGCGCTAAAATACCAGGAAGCACATATGTCATGTGAGTGTATGTATGTGTGTGTCTGTGTGTGTATATAGTTAATTTACAAACCAAGATTTAGTTCTGTGTTTTTCTATGAATTAAATATGTAGTTTAAATTCAAACACTGTGCTACATTTTGCTGTTCAGTTATTAAAGTCAACTTAGTTCCCCACCTCTGGGAAGCCAGGAACGTATACAGAAAGTGTATATTGAAGAGGATTCTCAGTAAAAAGGTTTTGATTTTCAAACTATTCTGAATAATCCCTTGCATGTGCCAGTCTACAAATACCCACCACGCTCAAGGTCTCGAATCTGTGGTCCTTTGGGTGCTCCACCGTAGACACAAGTGCTTTTGATACGTGAAGATTTCCCATACTCATATGCAACCTGTTGAACCTGCTGAGCCAACTCTCTGGTTGGGGCGAGCACCAGACACTGTAAAGAGAGGATGAAGAGGAATGAGGACGTTTATACAAACACTAATTTGTTTGTTTTATTTGTTAGAATCCCATTAGCTGTGCCCTGAATCACAGCCAGCCTTCCTAAATCATACTACTAAGGTACCATCATACTACTACGGTGGTATCATTTAGATATTATGAAGCTATCTAACATAATAACCAATATGGAATTTGCACTCACAATTGGGCCATCTCCTCTCTCCAGATATGGCTGGTGGTTGATGTGTACAATAGCAGGAAGAAGATACTGCAGGGAACAAAAAAACAAAATACAACTAAATACGTGTCCTACTATCATATCACAGGAGATCAGGCTAACCAATTCCTTCTCCTATGAATCCCTTTTAAAAACACATTAGTTAGACTCTCTTAAACTATCTAACTTTGCCCCTGTGCAGTTATACTGCTGTTCCAGATATCCATTTCTTATTATACTATTTGTCAGCAATTTGTATCCTGTGACATGTGCTATGTAAACATCGCCAATTAAACGTCAAATAGTGATCATCATCAGGCAGTCTTACAGCCAGTGTCTTTCCGGAGCCAGTCTGTGCAATCCCCACCATGTCCCTGCCACTCAGGGCCACAGGGAAGCCCTGAGACTGGATCGCTGTCGGCTCCTTGAAGTTCTGCTGCATCAGCACATCCATCACATACTCTGCCCGAAGAAAGAGGGAGACAATCAACAAGATAGCCCTGAAAATATTTTCTTCTTGTAAACACATCACTTGTCCTTGTAAAACACATTTTACTAACAGCTGTATAGTTTTGCTTAAATTAAAAAAAGCAAGGGGATTCAAAACAAAAAGGATATTTTGAAATCCCTAGATGCTAGTGAATGAATTGTTTATTGTATATGCTAATGTTTCCCAGAGATCGTTTGTGCAAACGTCTTAGGTTATATAATGTATGGTTTACTAACGAGGAAACTGTGCCTGGTGAAAGCCGGTGATCGCCTTTGAACAGCCAGAGCCTCTGATGGTGATCTCCTTCTTCCTGCGAAACTCTTCCACCTCATACTGGATACAACAGCCAACGAGAGAAGAAAGAGGAAACATGTATTTGGTGAAATGGTGTGTAAATTCAGATTTTTTAGATTACCTTCTGCTGAAATTACTCTGAGAAATATGATTATGAGGCATGGCTGTATGTATTTATCATTTGTGGATTTAAATGTGTGTTGCCTTGTGTATCAATATTGTTTGTGAGTGTCAGAAAGAGAGAGAACAACAAAGGTTTACCTGATTAAGGCGTTGGACCTCAGGGTGTTCAGTGTAGAAGTTCTTCTCGAATTTTGACAGCTCATCCAGGTTCCACCTCTTCTTGCGGAGACGCTCACCTGGATTCCCAAACTTCATTGGTGGGGGTCCACTGCGTCCGCCCATGGCCCCAAACCGTGGCCTGAGAGATTAGGGTCCAGACATAATGAGCACTGGGGAATCAGCAAGGCTGGCTGCAGCATTACTATATCAACACTGCAGGGGCTAGCTTCACCAAAGAGGTCATGTGATGATCATTTCTCTCTGTCTTGTAGTTTTATCTGTGACCAGTGTTTTTACGGCTGAATCCATGTGCATAGACTTCATTTTACTTGCAGAATTATTATTAATTTAAGTTAGGAGCACAACTTTATGTATGTGGATTGTTTTATTACAGCTCTCTATGAGTCTGCAGATGTTAGAAAGTGTTATGAAGTTTGTCTGCAGGCTCAGATAACTATGCCTGGTGCGGCTATAACATGTTACTGTGACATTTTCACACTGTAAGTCCTGCCCAGCAAATATTTGCACTCCAGTCTATAACACGACCTTTATCCTGGCGCCACCTTAGGGTCAGGGCTAATGTTACACTTGTATAAATACTGTGATATATAACTTAACTTAGTACAAACTTTACAGTGAAAGCACCAACAACCTGAGGAGAGGCCTTGGGGAGGTTTGTTTTTGTTGTTTTTGTTCCTGTGGCCCTTATCGGCCCACTGCAGAGAGAACTGAACACAACCATATGGCTTTGGGTCAAACTAGCTGTAATGTCTCCACATTACGCAGCTGCTGTGGTAAATAAGTAACGTTATGTGTTGTTCCCACAGATGAACTAACCTGTCTCGTCCACGGTCCCTGTCTCTGTCACCGTAGGAGGAACCCCCTCTCATTTTGGCGAAGAAACGAGTTACAACGTTACTATCGTCTCCGCAGTGTTTATAACTTTTGACACCGGTTTGTTTACGTCGTGCGCCGTTATGACGTGCAAAGTCACACAATAGCCGCGATTGACGAGTAAAAAACTACATGTATGTTGAAAGTACGCTTAAATAAGGATTTCAGTAAACAAATGTTGTGTGCGTCACGTAGCTAAACGGCCACCGCGTCGCACCGTCCCTCCCTGCCCTCTTTAGCGACGTATCTCCAACTAGTAATTCTACGTAGCGTCGCTTAGATAGAACGGATGCTACGTACGAATGTTCGCTATGTAACGATGGTGAATTCGGTTTGTGTACGCGTTCGTGCTTTTTAACAGTTGGTGGCGATGTGTCAGAAACCGCGAGCCGTGTTGTTGCAGGAGCAGTAGAAGAAGAAAGCCTTGCAGCAGCAGGAAGTGCGAGCAGACCGCCGAGGCTCGATATGTGTGTAATAAGATCATCAGAGTAGGAAGTTGCTGCTCTTTATAACAGTATGGTGACCAGTTGAACAAGCGCAACTCGGATATGCCTTTGTTAATTCAAAATAGAGGACTTGGGCGCATTAACTCGACAGCGGAATTGTTCGACACATTTCCACATTTACAGGTTTGTTTGCGGAAAGTGGGGCTCCATGTAGCTTACTGCGCTAGCTGCCATCACCAGTCATCAATCAGTCATATGATTCAGTCGACTGTCGTATGATAATTCATTTTCAAAGAAGTGTCACTAAATGGAAGTTTCCTGCGTGTGTACAATTTAAAAAAATAAAATAAAATAAAATAAGGAAGAAATGGGAAGGAAACGTGATAGCTCCCTTAATTGACAACTTTTGAGGTCTGGTCTTTATGGAAAATAATCATTTTGACATGTAAGGGGTGTTTATTGATTTATTTCATTCATCAGTGGAAAGATAAGGGTTACATTTTCCTTCTCTATGAAAATAAATGTGTAGTCAAATAAGAATAAGACCTAGAAGAGGGTTTACAGTCTATATTAACAACAATGAAGCAATATTAATAAATAGCATTACCTGATTGTGTTTTGGTTTAAATGTGACGAATACACAGAACCTACAGTGTCAATTTGACATTTTTAAGTAATACGTCTTTTATTCTTATGTCACAGGAACATGGAAGAACATTTCGCTCCAAGCCACTGGTTGACGTCGACCCAAAGTGCCTCTTGTATGTCCAACAAAGAGAGTTTGCTGCAACAACACCAGCAGACAGTGAGTAAAGCCTGGTTATTGCACTGGGAGTGTCTAAATATCAATCCCTCTTTTCTCATTGAGTATATAATACAGAGATTTCAAATCCTGCATTTACAACATTTGCCTCTAATTTACTCCCAGATAGTACTCCAAGTTGTCCAATCTGGATCATACTGATAACGCATGCTTTTCTGTCTTGCCTGTCACAGATTGTGTTTCGGTAATTGGATCTGATGATGCCACCACCTGTCATTTGGTTGTGTTGCGACACACTGGTAACGTTTCTTCCATTAGATTTATGCTGTGTGCCTTATTCTGCCTGTGTATGTAGTCAGGAATGGCATTTTTGATGTCTGCCATGACTGAATTTTATTAGGAAGTGGAGCCGTTTGCCTTGCTCACTGTGATGGTTCCAGCACCTGGTCTGAAGTCCCACTCCTTGTGAGAGCTGTCACCTCACTGAGTAACGTCAGTAAGGAGGGCAGGTACGAAATAAACAAAGACACATAACGAAAGTGCACATCCTCTTCAGAGCTTCTTCATTTTTGACTTGTCTTTTGCTTTCCATTATGCAGACTTGAGCTCCATCTTGTTGGGGGATTTAATGATGAGTCAAAAACATCCCATAAACTCAGCCTTAACATATTGGGTATAGTCTTTTAAAATTACCTCATTTCTCATATGAAGTGGGTGGCATTAGAGCTTTGTAAAACTTACAGACCATATTCGCTTTACAGCAGCGTTCCAGAAACAGAAAGAGGATATTCATCTGGAGACATGCTGCATCACAGGTAACATTTTGGTTTTGACTTGTTTACTATTGTTTAGACTTAATATACCAGTCGAGCCTTTATCATAAGTTATTATTATATTATAAGTAACCCTTCTGTTCTCTGTTTTTGTAGAAATCAATGACATTGTTGTTGATGGAATTCATAGGCCTGTAGTATATGGAATAGGTAAGTGATGAATATGCTACGGACTTAGAGGGAGGCAATGCGCTCATGGCACGTGATCTCTAATATACTATGTGTATGGCTGTTTCTGCACAGGTGTAAATGTTAAAACAGGGGATGTGTTCCCTTCGTCATTCACTCATAAAGGACCTGCAGAAGAGCTGCGATCTGCGAGGACCTTCACCGGGGGACAGGTAAGATATAAAATGTTGGGTTTTTTTTGTTTTTATTTGGATACTGGACATTTCTGTGAGTAAAACAACATAATTTTAAGTCTCTCTATTTCATACTAAAAACTGATAACCTCATGTTTTAAGTATTTTTTTTATGGGGTTATCATAAACAAATAAAATATACTGATGTACTCTTTTCCTTAAAATTGGTAATGTGGTAATTGTTTTGCTATTTATTTACTAAAACCAACAGGCCAAGATCTCATTGTTGAGAAACAAACTCAAAACTCAATGCAAAAATGATTAATAAAATGAATGTTTTGTTGTGTTGCAGATGGCTGACATATATGACTCAAGTCGAGGACTTGTTAAAATCGGCCCTTGCAATTGGTCTCCAAATCTAGATATTGCCTTCTGGTTGGCACAAAATGATGACACAATTTTAAAGGTAAAGAAATGTGGAAGTAATTAGTAGTCCAATAAAGATGATTTCCTTCATCCTTTGTTATACTATATTCTATTATACTGCTTTCCTTGCTTCACTCAAGGCCTCTGTTATGTCTGAATGTCTCTTCTACTCCCAGTGTGAGTGTGACGTAGAAGTTCAGAAAGTTTCATAATACAGACTTTGACTCTGGTATTTCTCTCTCATGCCCAGTACCTGTCCACCTCTCCGATGGCTGAGCCGCCACACTTCGTCCAGCACATGAAGTCCACCATCCAGTTCCTTTTAAAACACCCCGACTCTGATAGCCTGTTCCCCGGGGGTCAGCCACAGCTCTACCACAGGACTGTGACGGGGGACTGGGAGAGGGCTGTCTAGTCATAGAGCACTACTCCCATCTTTCACTCAACCTTAACATGGAACGTGACTGTTTTTGCCTCTCAGCTCAGTGGATACACTGTGACCCATCCACCCACTGTCTGTTATTGTTCGTTGTGTCTTAATTTGGAGGTAACCCCCAACTTGACCATGCATATGTTGAATAGCTCTCCTGATTCATCTGGCTGGTCCAGTAAAGAGAGTAGAGGAAGTGAAAGTGATTCTGTTCATGCCTGTAACAGTTCATTTTTCCACTCTTGTGAGGTGATGTAAATTCTGCACCTTACACCCTCTGTTGTGTTGCTGTCAGTCAAAGTTAATGTGCTATTATGCTTGGCTATTTTGAAATAGTTAACATTGCTGTCTTATGACCAGTTGAAAAAACATACTTCTCATTTTTTATGTTTTTTTTTTAGCCCAAAACCTGCAACTATTTTTTTTAATCAATTTCCTACCTACCTTGCATACGTCCATTGTGCAATTTAAACTAGTACAGCCAATCAATTTGCAGAATTGAAGCTTAATTGAATTGCCTTTATATTTTTGTCAGTGTTTTATGTTACATTGTCCCCATTAAATCAATTCTTGCCTATATCCAGAAGGTTCTGAAAACCAATACTTTTCCGAGAGGTGTGAAATCAATCTTAAAACTTGGTATGCTTTGAAAGTACATGCACAATATGTAGTTAATGGGCTAAAACATGTAAAACCACATGTATGGTTCTTAAATGCCTGACCTACTGTTAAGGAATAATTAGAGGAGGGGAACTTGCTGCAATAGCAACAAAGAATATATTTATTTTGGCACCTTGTTTAAAAACAGTAAAGAGAATTTTATTTGCTAAGCTCTGCATTGTTGAAGAGTTGCGCAGTAAGTTTATTTTTCTCAAAGAAATGCACCTTCCTGATGAGAGGAATATGATATTTCATCACATACTCTACATACTGCTGTATAGTTGGCTATGAATGTGTATGCTTTAGGAAAGTGCATGTGTAAATGTGTTTAGTAATCTTATGCAAGGGGTGTTTTGTCTAGTTTAGTCTTTTTTCAAACTTAACAATGTAACCAACATCATACTGTATAAGGCCTTTTCATCAGTTGTGTTATTCAGGAAGTTGCAAGGTGCTTAAAGCATTGGTGCAACTTTTTACTCTAACATACTGCACCTGTTGCTAAATAAATGTAAATTGTCAAATCTATTTTGAAATGCTTATGCCTATATTGAGTGTTCAGACTGAATGTCATTTGAGTATATTACTATATATCACATTACCTATCAACACCCTATATGCTAATGTAGCTATATTAGCTATATTAGTATATACATTATATATAAATATTGGTGTAGTAGTACAGTACAGAAATGTCAGTTATGTCTGACATAATTTAGAAACCATTACTTAGTTGTTACACATTTATTTTACAACTGTAAAATGTTACATTTAGAAAATCTTGGCCACAATTATTTATAAAGAAACGTAAGGGATCCTTGTCAAAAATGGTTTGTTTATGTAAAGAAATAACATATCCTCATCCCCCATAAGTTGACAGCTAGAGGACACTGATTTGCTCATACAGCCACCTCTCCTGTGATACTATTTATTACAGCAAAAACCAGATCAGTTCAGGTATAAGGGACATGTTGTTGAGACAGCTCCAGGTACTGTGTCAGGTTGAGCTGCTGTACCTTCTGATAACAAACTATTGGCTCAAGGTCTGCAGTCTGGCTCCGCCCTTCATCTGTATCTTCCTCTGCTTTCTCTTTTACGTAAAAAGGGGGCGTAGTAATTTTACGCAAAACGACGAGCCCCGGCCGGTGGCAGTCTGGCTGACAGTCCCGAGCCGGTTGTCGGATGGTGTACGACAAGCAAGTATCCCATCTGATATTATATGACTTTATGACCTTTATTAGACCAGAAACATATATAATTTGTCGTCGATACGCCTTATGAGCGTCTTCTATCGAAAACTGGTCGGAAATATACAGTGTCTGTGTACGTTAATGTGTCATATTTAGCTAGCTCACTTACACATAAAGCTAGTGTTACCGTAAAGTATTTATTACCTTTTGTTAACACACTATTAAATTCAACTGGGCGGCAATAACGGTAAAATAATGCGAACGGCGTTTTTGAGACACGTCCGTCGGTTTCCGTGGGTCACCAACGTTACACTGTACGGTTGTCTGTTCGCTGGCGGGGACTTCGTCCACCAGTGGTTTTCCCGGAAGGAGAAGATGGACTGGAGCCACACACGGAACGTTGCCGTGATCGCGTTCAGTTTCCATGGTAACTTCAATTTCTTCTGGATGCGGTTCCTGGAGCGGAGGTTTCCCGGGAATTCCGTCGGGATGGTGATGAGGAAGCTGCTCCTAGACCAGACTACAGCGGCACCCCTGGCTACCAGTGTCTTCTACACAGGTCGGTGGGCAGTGGGACGGACGGGCGGGGGGCAGCACGCCACAGCCCCCCGGGAAGTTAATGGTTAACAGATATCTGTCAATGTGTCACCTGACCCAAGTCCTCTCTGTGCGCGTTACTTGTGGTGTAAATATCAGCAGTTGTCCATTGTCCTGTGAAACAAACCTTGACTAGTAAAGGTCAAATGAAAGACATAAGCCTGAAGGATTACTATTACACATGACAAGTTATGGCAATATGTCATATTCCTATTATCTAACACAGGAAACTGCAGTAGTAGCTCAATCTGATCAAATCTGAAAATCTGATGCTAATAAAGCAAAGAAAAAAACTAAACTCCATTAAAATAGGCTATATAAACCCCATAATCCTAATGTACATGCTGTCATTGTACTGATAATGTGATAATGTCTGCAAGCAATATTTATACCACTGTATTAATAACCCTGCCATTGTGATTTTGTCCCTACTCCTATAAGACATACATATATATATATATATATATATATATATACTACTATACTGTGTACTGTGTTTGTGGTTTCTTAAAAGTACCTACCATCAGTCAAACCATCTTCCAGCTGACAGTCAAAGGATGAATTTGTCTTGTCACCCAGGTGTCAGCTTCTTGGAAGGCAAAGAGGACATCACAGCAGACTGGAGAGAGAAATTCCTGAATACATATAAGGTGAGTGGGAGCAGAGACAGGCTGTCACATGTTCCTGCCACTGAAATGGTATCAGTTGTGATATGTTGTGACAGTTAAGTTGTGCCTGAATCAAAGTGCATGTATTTATGTGTGTGTGTGTGTGTACAACCATAGATCTGTGTGTGCAAACTGTCAGTTGGTGTGAATGCTGAATGTTTTTTTTTTTTTTACAACACGTACACCAATGTTTTAATGTAAAAGCTCCATTTATCTGAAGCTGAGTATGCAGACATTGTTGCTATTACCTTCCTCATTCACACTCAGAAATATTCTGCCTTTTCTGGCAAATCTTGCTCATTTAAAATAATGGATGGACAGTTTTTCATGCCGTTTCAACTCTTTTCATTCAGGTAGAAACTCACGTTCAAATGTTACTCAACTATCAAATCCCATTAAAATGTCAGAATATTCAACTTTCTTCAAACCCACTCATCTTAACCTGTTCCCAGTGATTTATACATTCACATAGAAACTCCTTTTTTAAAAAGTTTTAAACGTTCACGGCACTTGGGATTTTCTCGTGTAAATTCCACTTTTTCATATCTTTCATACTTTTTCCACAATTGCAGTTTTAAGTTTCATGCAATTTGCAGCCCTTCTCTGATTTTAAAATTTGAGTTTTTTCAACAGCATTCACACCACGATTTCTTCAGAAAGTGCCTCCTCAGATGTATCAGCTATTACTTGATTTTGTGAGAGGCCTCTGAGTTTTGCTAAGTTACATGGCTCTCAGTCGATGTTGAAGTCCACATCCGTTTCAGTTGTGTCAGCAGAGCTTTTCTTCTGGACGTTTTGAATGATTTGTGTGCTTTCTGTTTATCTCTCTTTTCAGACAGGGCTGATGTTCTGGCCATTTATGCAGGTAAATATTCATATCTGCCATGCATAGACCTGTCTAAATCTAAGCTCAAAGGTCTACTTGCTAATGATTCTGAACTTTCAGTCACATCTCACAGCCTCATGATAAACCTGTGTGAGTTACTAAGTAAACCTTTGAGTAAAGATTGTCTTCTCTGTTAAAATCTTCAGTTTCCTCACATTTGCATTTCTTTTAATATCTGATATAATATTGAAAGTAGCCAATCTTGGTGGTTCTGCAACATGATGAATTTGAAAGACAGACCTGTGGAGCAACCCTTCAAATATAATAATAATAATATATTAATATCCCAAATATCATATAAACACATATAATAAGATAAAGTCAGAGAGAAATAATGTAGGTTAAATTCCATCAGCCTAGTTTTTTGGACTCTCACAATCACAGACTCTACTAAAATAATCAGAATTATTTAGATATATTCAAACACGGCAATAATCTACAATATATATATAATATACATACTATATTTGTATCTGTTTCCCTTAGTTTCTCAACTTTGCCTTGGTGCCTCTGTACGTGCGGACCACCTTCACCGGCTGCTGTGCCTTCGTCTGGGCCACCTTCCTTTGCTTCTCACGTCAGAGTGGTGATGGCACAGCCGGCGCTGCTCTGGCATGGATGTTCCCTCCTAAAGAGGATGAAGCAGAATCTACAAAGGAGAACGTAGACTCCAAGGAGAAGACGGACGCTCCCAAAGAGGGAACAGTAGCATCTAAATCCACTCAGAACTGAAATATGTAGAACCGGCCGTTGTAATGGAGGGGGACAAACAAACAGGAGACAGCTGGTTCTGTGATTGATGCTGCACCATCACTGCCATGGTTTGAGTTCAAAATCTCACTAAACTAAAATGGATATCCTTATGAGTCTGTAAGGTGCTTTAGGGAACAGCACCCAGCAAATGTACTGAATGTATATACAGTATATTTTTCAATATTCATACAGCACATCTCCTCAGTGGGAATGTGTAATTCAGCCCCACTTTAACATCCCACAGTAAACTGTCGCCATGCTGCGTTTCTCATCAGGTTTTGTTTTTATAAAAACAGTTCCCTTATTTAATTGGGACATGTTTAATGATACTGGGATGATTTACGAGGACATCTGTATCTGGGACAGAAGCTGCGAGGATGGGAGAGTGTAAACTTGAGTCCTCTGCTTTACATCTAAATGAAAAACTGGAATGAGAGTGGGAAATAAATATTTCCACAATGTGGAGTGGCAGCTAACGTATTAGCTTAGACTTTTAACTTCATAAAATTGGGCAAATTGCTAAACTTTTAGATATCACTCTCTTTTTTTGTCTTTATTACAAGTGCTTGGACTGTTATCTGTGGCTGCTACAGAGTGCCTGATCTCCAAGGACTATCTGCTTCGGTTCCAGTTTACACTCTGGTACAGGAAGTGCCAAATACAGATGCACACAGGTACCTATAACCTGTTATATTCTAGAGTATGTTTGTTTGTTATTAATGTGTAGGTAGATACTTTATACATAAGGGCCATAATGAGCTGAGCACACACGAGATTCAGCGTAGGTTCACAAACAGTGTTGTTTAAAGCAACAACAACAACAAAACACTACAACATATCTGAAAATACCTTTATGAGTTCCACAGTTTCAACCATTATCCCAAAAATATACTACTGAAGAATACTTTGAGTTTTGTCTAACAATGGTTGATGAAGGTTGTCTCAAACATCCATATACTTGAATGTGGAAATGCTGCCTGCCTGTTGTCGTACTTTATGTTAATGTGATACCGTGGAGTGCTCTCTATTGTTTCTCTCTGCACCATTTCCTAAAACAGTTTGCTATTCTAGTTTTTTTTTTATTTGACCTCTTTGAAATGTTTATATGTTTCTTTGCCTGCAGTGATTCTTGTAATGTCAGATGCCTCCGCCAAGCAGTTTTCTACAGAGGTAATTTTTATAAAGTTCAGCGCAGTACAAGAGCTGACTGTTATTCCCATATATTTATACGGTTCAGGGCAAACTTCTCACTTCTCAAAAAACCCTTTTGATTCACTTTCCTATGTATTACTGAAACCCCCTGTGTCACAGAGAGATGCATCTATTTTTGTTTTCTAATATGGTTTAGTCTAAATCTAGTTTGCATTTTGAAGTAGAATTTGCTGTGTAATTCTATTATTTGATCTGCATAACTGAATTAATACTACTCTGAATAAGATATTAATAATAATACAGTGTTGGTATTGCGGTACAGAAAGATAATGTAATAACTACAGCAGTTTGATCCCTTTTATCAGACACCTTTTAACTTGTATCCTTATATATAATAACTTAATATTAGTGTAGTGTTAGAGTGTTCGTTTCTATTTATTATTGATATGCTGATGTGTTAAACTGAAACGGAAAGCTCAAACAAATGAATAATCCCTTTGTTCATATCAGCAGCTGAAGACTGGGTAATATTACCGACTCATTCAAAGGTTGGTTTGCTACTTTAACACAGTCTAAATTTGATTGTGTTGTTGACTGTAATTTATTGAAAAATGATTTGATCACATTTTGCACTTTAGTTGCACTAACTGTGGTAAACAATATTTATTGCTGAATACATTAAAACACATACTATTCATTCACTGTGTGAGTGTTTACTGAGCAAACAGCTATAGCAACACACAAGAAATCAGTTATTACTGAACTCGGGTGACACACTTGTACCAACATTGTAAAACAGACCCACAGTTTCCGTCTTATGCTTACAGTTGAAATATCACATGCACCTCTGATATTTTGCCATCAAAGGTGCATCCTGGGTGTGTTTTGGCTTGTGTCCAGACCGAAATATTACTCACTTCCCTGTATTACTCATCGTTTAGATGCAACTGCAGCTCTGTCTCCCTCTCTTCTGGGAATATATTGAGCACAGCATGTACTTTGAAAGAGCTGCCGGCTGCTGCGTGCCATTTTTTTTCTGCAGTCTGTGTTTTCACGCTCTGTTTTAGTCACTCAGACTATCTCTCCCTGCTGCTAAGACTTAAGAAATTAAGCTTAAGGCACCCGTTAATAAAGTTGTTTCTAAATTTGGAACCGTCTGCTCAAACAGACTTTGCCATATGCAACCAGACCCCCTCATGTGGAAACACCTGCCACTTAACCTTTGGTAGTTATGCAGCCAGATAACAATTAACACTTCAGAGACACAATGCTGAAATAGCTATTACCCTGCACTAGTGTACATATCCCTTTATTAATAAAACACATGGGGCATTTAAATGTGCAAATATAGGAAATACACATCATTGGGACAGACTGACAATAAGAACTCCAGTGCAACTGTGCGCCTATTGTTTTATTTTTAACGTCATCTCAGTGCCAGTGGGTGTCTCCCAAGTCTTCACATCCCGGCCCGCACTGCGCATGCTCCCTACATCCTCACCTCCATCCACACGTCGAGGGACTTGAAAAGCTTCAATAAAGATGCTCAACATCTCGGGTCGCTGGAGCCTCGTCACCGGGTGAAACTGAGTTATCTGGACGCACGCACACCGAGGAGACGTGTACATTTACCCGAAAGCCTCGCTGTTATCCTGGTTTCTGCGCGCGGCCACTCCACCGACATGGAAATGAAGAAATCTATTTCGGACACCGAGCGCGCGCTCAGGAGCTACGGCGCCGTGTCGGAAACGGCATGGACAACGGACAAAGGTGAGCGTCATGCAGCAAAATATGGTGTTGTTTTACCGCCTGGTGGTGGGAAACAGCAAGTTCTGTGTCAGTGTTTGCAGATAATGTTTCACTCTGTGGAAAAGCCCAGTGAGCGGTTAGCGTAGAAACGGTGGGTGAGTGGGTGAGTCACAAAGGTTTGGGACGTATCAGTAGCGCTGCCTTGGTGCCTAAAGGCCTATACATTCCCCTGCATGCACACTATGGGTATTGCGCGGTTTGTGAATGAATTTGGGCAATGCAATATACCACAAATACAGCAAGCCCAGCGCATTTGGAAACTTGATGCAGGCTGAGCTGATGATGAAGCAAGAGCAGACAGCCAACAGCCCGGTCCTCTGCTCCATCAACGGGCTCTGGGTCTCCCATTTAGAAGAATGTTTGAGCTTTTTGGCAAAATGAGGGAAAGTTGACAGCTTGAAAGACTTCTTTTTTTAAATGCCACTGTAGGTACATTCCTTACTTTTAATTATTGTTTCTGAGGATCACCATACATTGCACAAGGGGTGAGCACAATAAAACCAGTTTCAATTGACACAACACAACGAAACCACAGACACAGACAGAAAAGTGACAGTAACGCTGAACACACACCTTTCCAACACAGTTTCAGCTAAACATGAACATCTTAAGTTGAAGAGCTACTGAATTAGACGTCTGTTATTTTGATCTGCATCTTTTTTATTTGTCCTGTTTATGGTAATCATGGTCTGCAAAACGTTAGAAAATATGGAAAAAGCAGTGCCTTTTACAGTATCCCAGAGCCCAGTGCAACGTCTTTAAATAGCATTTTTCAACTTACAGTCTGAACTCCAAAGATTTTCAATAAATAGTTATATAAAACTGAGAAAAGCAACACAATTCTCTGAGGACTGCACTTGATGCATGGCAACAATTTATTTTCTTATCGACCAATGTCTGTTTCAGCTCAAAACAATACCACAAAGTACAACCTCAAAAATTACTATAAAGCTGAAAAAAAACAACAACAACAACTCAGTTTTGACATAAATAAACATTATTAGCAGCAGATACATTGTATTGGATGTTTCTGTTATCTGGTCCTATATTAAAGTGATAAAGGTCTATGGATGACGCATGTGTTGACGGAAGCAGCAGTGATAACGTCCTTTAAGATGTGTCCTAGTCGGTTCCACTGAGGATAACTCATCACAGGAGAGCAGGGTGGGAAGAAACTTCCAGATTAAGTCAGAGAAGGAGAAAAAAATTCAGTGGATATTTTTAGACACAGATCCAGCCATAGCTCTCTCTCTCTCTCTGCCTGTCTAGCACAAACACACATACATCCAGCTAGAAAACAAGGCAGAGGTAAAGCAGAGCAACCTCCCCAGGTTTATCTCCTCTTATTTAAAAAAAAAAATAAAAAAAATAAACAAATACTGCCAGTGTTTATCCTACATTTTTTATATTTTGTGCTCACATCTGTTTGATTTGTGTGTGTTTTTTTTTTTTTTTTCGAGGGGGGGTGTGGTCCAGAGGCAGGCATTGTGACTGCAGGATGTGTCAGGGGTGTCGGCATTGGATGTCAAATACAGATGCTGACATTTCCCTGTTTGGTGAGCCCCAGGTGTCTGCTGCACCACCTACAATCCAGGCTCTCCAGGCTGTTTATTCCTCATTAAATCATAATCCCAAAGTACACTGATGAGCCAGTTTGTTTTAATGAAACAGCGGTAATTCAAGCTGATTCATTATGTGTGAGAGGAGGCTGGTTTACACCTGCAGCTGATGTGAGGAGCAGTGCTGCTTGTGTTGGCCTGAAACTTCCCAGTTAACCTCACCTGTCCCTTGTGAACAAGCTGTTTTTAATTAGGGATTGTCAATGCTGTCCGGTGCTTGTAATGTTTTTAATGCTGAGTATGTGTGTGTGTACGTGTGAGCAGCTTGTTCAGATGAGATGGAGCTGTGAAGACATTACTGAGCTGGCGTTTTGCCTCCTGTCTGGACTT